AAAAAAAAAAAAAAAAAAAAAAAAAAAAAAAAAAGAGAGAGAGAGAAAAGAAAAGAACATGAAAGTTTGAAATGTTAGGATAGTAAAATAGAATTTTTCTCAATTTTCACTTGAAATAAACCTGCACAGAATATTTTTCCTAGCTTTGTTATTTTCTTTTTCACAGACCTGGATACAATCACATATTTCCCCATTAGCCTTTCAAAATAAATTTTTCACTCAATTTCCTTAATGAAGGTTGAGTCTTTAAATTTACAAACAAAAATATATCACATCTATTGTCCCTTTTAATGCCACAGAAATTACCTCAGGCTGACATCATCTCTCAGGGGAGAGTCTCAGGTGTAGCAGCCAGAGCTCACTCCAAGCACTCACTCACTCACTCACTCACTAGACTACCTAGAGCAGTGGTTCTCAAATTCCCCAATGTTGTGACCCTTTAATACACTTCATACTATGGTAACACGCCCCCAACCATACAATTATTTTCACTGCCACTTTACACCTATCATTTTGCTACTGTTATGAATCTGAGTTTTCCCATGGCCTTAGGTGACCCCTGTGAAAGTTTTGGTTGTTTGACCCCAAAAAGCCTGAGACCCACAGGTTGAGTTGTGATCTAGAGCAATCTTCCACATGGACCTAATTGTGTTCCATCTTGCTACTGAAAACCCATGTCTATGGCTCCAAACTACAGGTCCCCAGCCTCTACAGTCCCTGCTCCCTGATGCTAACTCAAGGCCACTACCAAGTGCCTCCCCAATGTCTGTTTTCTTCCCTTTGTGCTTTCTGTCCAGTCCACTCCCCCAGTGTCAGTGTCTCCATGGAGACTGTTGGAGACAAGACCCACGGAGGAGAGGACACTCCACTGGAGGATGTGAAGAAAACGCCATGTTTCTTTGAATGTTACCCTTTAAACCTTTTCTAGCACATTCAAAACAAAAATGTTTAGGAATATACATTTATTAGGAGTTCCTGTTCAGGTTTTGGTGAGGTATGTTTTTTGTTGTTGTTTTGTTTTGTTTTCTTCTCCTCCATCCCCTCTGACAGCAGGGGAGAGCAAAGGGATAGGCAGGGAACCAATAAACTTACTAGTCATTACTGTGACTGAGTGAGGCAACTTTCGACCTGACCGGGTGCTCTGTCTCTTTCCCATGACCTCAGGAGGGAAGGTTCCCAGGGGCTTTCCTGGGGATCATTTAATGCGCCAGGGATGGAGGCACCTCTCCAAGATCACAGAGCCTGGCTGACAATCATGACGTGCTTGTGAGACTTTAAAGACGCTGGGGGAGGGGTGGCGTCTGTTCCCACCTATTTGTTTCTCCTAGGTAACAAAAATAACTGAGTCAGCCAAGCAGGTCCACCAGAGGCAGGAAACAGGCTCAATTTTTTTTTTCTTCAGCTCAGTTAGCATCCTGTAATTATTGACAGTTTTTCAGAAACAGGGAAATAACCCTAGGGGCTGCTTATCAAACAGCAGAAGACCTCAGAGCTCTCTGAAGGCTTGGGGTGTGGCTCAGAAGCAGAGGGGCTTGCCTACCCACCCCGCAATGCATTCTCCTGTGTAGCATTCCTCAGTAAAGAAAGCTTCATGTGAAATGCTCCTCAGGTCTGCATTGGATGGTGTTCTATTCGAGTAAAGGATTCAAAGGGGGTGGAAACTCGGGAGACACCACCCCCAGCTGTTGTGCAACCCCAAAGGTTAAAACC